TTCACTTGTAGCAATTCTGTTGTTTTCGGCAAAACATCTTTGTGACCTTTCGAACATCTGCTTCTTACCCAGATCTTTCCTGTTCCTGCTACGCCTATAATACCTGGTCGATACAGAAGGCCTTTCTAGAAGTTTTGAGGTATATGCGCACACGTGCATACACACACACACACATACACACACACACATACACACACAGACACATATACACACACACACACACTTACACATACATACATACATACATACATACATACATACATACATACATACATACATACATACATACATACATACATACATACATACATACATACATACATACATACATACATACATACATACATACATACATACATACATACATACAGACATACATACATACATACATACATACATGCATACATACATGCATACATACATACATGCATACATACATACATGCATACATACATACATACATACATACATACATACATACATACATACATACATACATACATACATACATACATACATACATACATACATGCATACATACATACATACATACATACATACATGCATACATGCATGCATACATACATACATACATACATACATACATACATACATACATACATACATACATACATACATACATACATACATACATACATACATACATACATACATACATACACACATACATACATACATACACACATACACACATACACACACACACACACACACACACACACACACACACACACACACACACACACACACACACACACACACACATACATACATACATACCTATCAGTGTTTCACATTTCCAAAATAATCTAGCCATCACAGCTTTCGGGGCTGATTTGAATAATTTACTTTGGTGAACTTCAAGAAGCGTGGTCAGAAAATAGGATGGCTGGCCATTAATTGATTAAATTATATATTCATGACATCCAATTCCAACTATATATAGCATAAGGCTGGTGAGTTCTGAGTTCGATATACTCAGCTTCCTCAGGCAGATCGCTATGTACAGGGTATCTAAAAATAACAAAGAGAGAGAAGGGGAGAGAGAGAGAGAGAGAGAGAGAGAGAGAGAGAGAGAGAGAGAGAGAGAGAGAGAGAGAGAGAGAGAGAGAGAGAGAGGTGGAGCAGGAGGAAGGAGGACCATTTAAAGGGCAACAACTAGTTCATATTTCCACCAATTTCAATAAAACTACGGACAAATAAAAGTCTACCCAGGGAACATCATATTTAGTAACATGAAGAAAATCAGTGGGCGTATTTGAAAAATATTCAGTTTTGTTTTGGGGTTGTTTTTTTCTACCGAAATTTAGTCATTAAACGCACAATTTTACTCTTTATAAAATGTTCAGCTGCAGGAGCGTGGTTGGTTCGTTATGGTTTCAGGACGAGGACGATAAAACCACGAGTAAAAAATACAATTTATGGACATCTCACCGAGCTGAGAAAGTTTTGCAAACGATTGGGGGAGGGGGGGATGAAGGGTCATGCGGTTGAGGAGACATGGTTTCAGCAGGTTGAGGCCACCCCCCCCCCACCCCCACCCCACCCCCCACCCCCCATCAACGTGGCCCGTGTATGGTTGCAAGAAAGGTTTGGGGAATGCGCCTTATAAACCGAAGGCTTGCAAATTAAATGAATGGCCAATGATCACGATATTCCCCAGACTTGAATCCCCTTTCTTTTCTTTTTTTCTTTTGAATATACATGGTCTACGGACACAATCCACAAACAATCGAACAGCTGCTGTAACTCAATGTTGAACAAGAGGTCCAAAGAATCGATCCAAAATCATGCCACGGGGTTATTCAAAATTTCTTTCGGCGTGTTCGAGCTTGTATCTAGAGGAAACTTGTCAACACCTGAAGCGTACAGTTTAAATAACTACCACCTTTCCTTGGTTTGCTTGGCAATGTCAATTTCATATGAATCTGTTCTCCAATGCACATTATGTTTAATTTTTTTTAAGTTGCAAAGTTTTGCATTTCAGTGTTCATGACTACGTTTTGATTCAATAAAATTGGCGCCTTGAAGTCCGCAATGTTGTATGCCGGACAGAAATGGTTAATTGGAATAAACAGACCTCCTAAATGATCGAAACTGTGTCAAAGAGGGGGAGGGGGGCTCTCGTGGCCTAGAGGTTAGAGTGTTGGCCTCTCATTCAAAGGTCCCGGATTCGAATCCCGATAGCGACCGAAAAAAAATTCTTCTCTAAAATTGTCTCCTTTCACCTCCTTTCCTGCTCTCTAGCAATATTCTGTAGTCTGCTTTCGTCCCCTCTTTCTGCCCCCACCCCCTCACCTCCTTTGCCCCCTCCTCTGGGCTCCTGACTCTTTCTGCAACCTTTCTACTGCTACTCCTTGGCTCCTTCTCACTGCTGTCTTTCAGTCACACCTCCGATCTTCTGGTAGGAAAGATCTGCACCTAGCCTTCTCGGACAAGGGCAAAAAATCTCAGAGGACCCGTGTGCAAGTTGTGCACGTTTAAGATCCCTTGGTGGTCTAAAATCGATAAGAGTAGGCTTCGGCCGCCACCCGGGCAAAATTCAAAAATTTTCTTCAATTGAAAAAGTTTATAGTGTCCCGCGCGCTCATATGACCTTGTGTAGTTTTGAGCGCCGTAAAACACTTTTTTTTAAAGAGGAGGAAGGGGTGGGGGGGGGTAAAAGAATTGCATTTGATCCTAGTAAACATGTTATGCGTTTTCTTACTCATTGGTGTTGAGGCCACCGTCTACCTTGTTGAATACAGCTGTAGTTCACTGTGAGTCCACACTACAATGGTTACATACACAATTTAGCAGAAAGTAAATACAGCAATACAAATTACTGTAACTCGTGGGGGGGGGGGGGGGGCAGAAGAAGCAGAACATACCAGCATGTCCACAAGCCACAAGCAATGCCTACCCGTAGATGAAAATGGAGAGCTTGCTGATACACCTGTCCATCACCTCCACTGTCTCGCACATCGCTAGGTGACGCTCGCGAAGCAGGGCCAGGTGTTGAGGGAAACGAGATTTGGCTGCTCCGACCTGGAAAACACATAATTTGTTCCTTGGTCTTACTATAGACGGCCGCTCTTGTAAAGCGGGTAGTTGGGGGGGATCCCCGGGTAGGTTATCAAATAATTCTACTTTTTTTTCTTTCCCTCTGTTGTTTCTGCCTATCCTTCTTACCTTTTCCGAGCACTAAATGACGGTTAATATGTTGATGTGCTTCTCATCACTCAAACAAGCTCTTTTTTATGTATGTATGTATAGTATAAGGTTTTACGGCGCTCGCAACTGCTAAGGTCATATCTTTTTTAAGGAACACGTTACCACACCTAGGTTTATACTGAAGGTGCAATACTTGGCCCTCCGTCAAGGCATAATCGCCTTTGGAATACGGATATGAATTATGAAGACCCCTTTACGGTTCGAACCTCTCACGTTTTCGTGATGACCAAGCAAATGCCGAGCTATAACTCGCCGAGGGCACGCGTTCTGGCTATTCGACAACGATTATGCACAGTTTTGGGGTCTAACTTCATTATTCAAACAGATTTTTAGATTTTGTTTTCTTTATCTGAAACTTGAAACGGTATGAAACAATAATAAAATGCATACTATAAAACATATTAAGTTAGTTTACTTATTTGTGAATGATGGCTCGAAATGTGGTAAAATGTTGCCTTCACTCTGCTGATAATCGAATGTATGTGTCCGTCACGTCCTCAAAGTAGCTGCCGAAGGAAAAATAACTGAGGGAGATAGAGGGTGTGTATGATCCTGGTTCGAATTTGTAATGGGGAGATCCTAGACTAGGGTTGTTTAGGAGACTTTCAAGGCTACGCACCTCCTGGGCTCGGTCCCGTTAGAGACGGATGCTAAATCTGGACATTGCGCCTGGATCTTACTCATGATATTTGAGTGCTGGTAGGGGTGTTAAATTCGTACAATACTATTTTATGCCACCCTTTCAAGATTTCAGTTCTTCTGCTAAAAGGCTGGGCAGCGGAGACTGGTAATAAGGAAAGAGAAATTTAAAATCAAGATAAAACACATCACATGTGTACGTCTGGATTCAAAATCACCAGCGTCTGTGGTGTAGCGGTTAGGCGCTTCGCTGTCGCACGAGTGGGGAAATAATTTTCATCGAGTATCTTAGTCTTTCTGCTGGGATGTTTTAGCCCTCTAGCCCAGGTTGGCCCTGATAGACAGGGTCAGAAGCTCGCCTCCTAAATGATCAAAATTGTGTTATCGGGGGGAAAACCCTATGTCATCAGGTTCACATAAATAATATAATTCCAAAACTAAATAGGGTTTTACCTCTGGCTAGTGAGCAATTGGTCATTTTTGTTACTCAAATCCCCATAGTTTTTTGTGGAAAGGGGGGGGGGTCTGTGAACTATCAAGACTATAGACACAGTCGAAACGGCTACCCATTGTCAAGGAGAAAAGTGACCGTCTGAGAAAAGAAGCTGTCTTACACCGTGTCATTACAATGTTTTAAAGAATGGCGCAAGCGATTAAATAGGAAGTGGCCGTTTTTACAGGTGATTGTCTTATACAGATGGCCGTCAGAGCAGGTGTGAGTGTATAAATGTAACAAAAATCTCACGTGTAGCTTGATCACCATATTCAACGCTTCGAAGTGCTGGACAATGTGATGGCACATGACCACGATGAAAGCCGTAGGACTCAGCCAGGAGCAGGACACGAAGAAATGAACCAGGATCGAAGCGATCAGCCAAGGAATTGAACGCTGACCAGTAATATAGAAGATTTTGGACATGCCATCAGTGAAAAGGTAATCAGAAAATATCATTATAGAGGCGATGGCGAAGAGGTTGAAGAGAATGGCTCCCCACTGGAAGGCGATGACCCACTTGGTGAAGCCGGTGGTGATGACTCCATGCAGTCCCAGCTGTTTGGTGACCGGGTCCTGGGACGATAATAGATGTGATTTTATAACAAGTGCGTTACGAATATTAAGTTGAGCTCTTAGCGTAACTTATGTGGAAGAAAGGAAGAAAGGAGGATGAATGACTGCTGTAATGAAAAAGGAAAAAGACATGTACGCTCGTATCTAAGAGAGAATGCTCGTGTCTGTTGTTGTTGTTGTTGCTGTTGTTATTGCCGTTGTTGTTGCTGCTAATGTTGTTGTTGTTATTGTTGTTGTTGTTGTTGTTGTTGTTGTTGTTGTTGTTGTTGTTGTTGTTGTTATTGCTGCTATTGTAGTTGCCTTTGTCGTTGTTGGTTTGTTTCTGCTGCTGCTGCTGCCGTCGTCCTTGTCATTACCGTCTTCGTCGCAGTACCGTAACAGATCCGTCATCGAAATTTTGGAAGTGGGCTAAATTCGAAACCTACAGAACCAAACTAAACTGCCGTTCAACTCTCTCTCTCTCTCTCTCTCTCTCTCTCTCTCTCTCTCTCTCTCTGTTTTTTGTGTGTATGTGAGTATCCATCTTTCTTTCTCTTCACCCAACCACAACCATCATTCCTTATGCCAACAGAAAGGGAAATATTGACGCAGATATTTTCTCTAAAAAACAACAAACACAAACCCTCCCCCCTTTCCCCTCTTTCATGTTATCCCCAATATCACAATCCCTCCTCCCCCACCCACCCATCCCACTCC